AGTTGTAGACTTCAATGTCCCACTTTAATAAAAAAAAATTAATCTTTATTTATTTTTGAGAGAGAGAGAGACAGAGTACGAGCGGGAGAGGGGCAGAGAGAGAGGGAGACACAAGATCCGAAGCAGGCTCCAGGCTCCGAGCTGTCAGCACAGAGCCCAAAGTGGGGCCTGAACTCATGAAGCGTGAGATCATGACCTGAGCCAAAGTTGGTCACTCAACCAAATGAGCCACCCAGGCACCCCAATGTCCCACTTTAAATGGACAGAAATAAGTTCAACAAGAAAGGAACTGAAAAGCTCTGTAAACTGGACCTGAACAGACAAATACAGAACACTCCACCCAACAACACCAAAATATGCATTCTTCTCACTGCATATGGAACATTTTCCAAGAGAGGTCAAATATTAGGCCACAGAACAAGTCTCAATAAAATTTAAAAGATTAAAATCATACATAGATATTTTGCAATTTTATATGCAAATACATTTTATAAAATGTTGATCATTAATTATATTATTAAAATTGAACTTATTTTAAATAAAATATTTAGTCATTCCTCAATATTCATCATCAAGTGGCATTTTGGTTTTTTTGTTTGTTTTTTTTTTTCAACGTTTATTTATTTTTGGGACAGAGAGAGACAGAGCATGAACAGGGGAGGGGCAGAGAGAGAGGGAGACACAGAATCAGAAACAGGCTCCAGGCTCTGAGCCATCAGCCCAGAGCCTGACGCGGGGCTCGAACTCACGGACCGCGAGATCGTGACCTGGCTGAAGTCGGACGCTTAACCAACTGCCCCACCCAGGTGTCCCCCAAGTGGCATTTTGAATGAGCAATGGAACTTATGACACATGTCTTCAGCAGCCACAAGAGAATAAATTTCTACCTCTGCCTGCCACAATTTTAAATGTTTACATAGAGGTCTTAGCTGGGTTCAATCCAGATGGTCTCAACCACACACTGCTCTCCCAAGACTTCATCCATGAAAATGGGTCCAGTTGTGGGAACAGTGGGCAGAATGTACATTCAAAGAACAGGAGAGGGGCGGGGAGCCTCTGAATGCCCAGGTACAGCTCGCGGGTTGATCAGCAGTCACATCCTCTCCATGACCTCATCCAACACTCAAGAACTTACCTGACTTATCTAACGTGGTATGTTTTCCTTTGTGTTTTATGTCTCCATTTGATACTATTTAGTTGTTTTCTCCATATCAAATTGTTAGGTCTATAAAGTAAGGATCAACTAATATCACCATGTTCCTCCACAAGTGTGCCTGACCTAACACAGGTGCCATCAGTGCATGAGAAATAATCACTGTTCCGAAGCAACTCACAATGTTTAGAAGATGGATATTTGAGGGGCACCAGGGTGGCTCAGTCAGTAAAGCGTCCGTGTTCAGCTCAGGTCATGATCTCGTGGTTTGTGAGTTTGAGCCCTGCACCAGGCTCTGTGCTGACAGCTTGGAGCCTGGAGCCTCTTCAGATTCTGTGTGTGTGTCTCTCTCTGCCCCTTCCCCACTTGCACTCTGTATCTGTGTCTCTCAAAAATAAATAAACATTAAAAAACAGAAGATGGACATTGGACTAATAGCATCACAGCACACCTGTAATCAGTGCTACAATGGAGAAACTTTTATAAGAAGGAGAATAGAAAACTCTATCTGGAGAGATCACATAATACTATTTTAAAGTATTTGCTTTGAGGGCATCACAGGTGTTTTTCAGTAGGCAAGATCAATAATGATGTTTCAAGGGAGGTGTTTTCTCTGCAAAGACTGGGGATGTTGTTTGAGGACCAACAAATGCTTACACATGATACAAATATAGACATATGCTACCTATAATTACATATATTTAAAGCACAAAACATGGGGGTGGGGTAAAGGATACATTCAAAGAAATAGGTAAAATTTGGTATGTATGATGCAGAGGGAGAAACAGGCAAAAAACTATAAAACCTCATAAGGAAAAGGGAAAAGACTCCATAAGGGAAACTTAGAAGGAATGATCAGGAAGATGGAATAAAATAAAAATTGCTTAAATACAGTTCACTACAGTCATCTCAAAACAAATATACCCAAAAGCAGAATTCAGGATAATCCACAATCCACCTCCCACCTATTCCTCCCAAGTCTACTTCATATCAGAAAATAGCACTGCCATTCAGCTGGTATAGCCAAAACCCTAGAAGTCATCACTGAAGACTCTCTTTCGGCCCCTACATCCAATCCATTAAAATCTTACCAGTTCCACGCTCATATCATACCATCAATGTGTCCACTTCTCATCATCTCCAGTGCCACTCCCCTACTCAAACCACCTTCAGCTTTCATCTAGTCCTCTGCAATAGCTTCCTATGTGATCCCCTTTTTTCCATTTTTGCTTTCCTTAAATACATGTACACAGTAAAAGAAATAATCTTTTAAAAATCAAATCAGATTATGCCATTCTTCTACTCAAAAAATTCTAATTGCTCCATATTTCATATATAACACAATCTACCTCCTTATAAAAATATGTAAGGCCTTTCATTACATGGTCCTATAAATTTCCTAAATAAATATAAGCAGAAAAAAACCCCACATGATACAGTATATATTGTGATTATAGCAGAAATAGAAGTAGGGGGTGATGGTGAAAGCATACTAAATCCTCATCTTCCATAGAAGATGCCAGCAGATAATATTTAACCTCCGTAAATAAAAAAGAATAAAATTATATTTAGGAGTACAAACGGATACACTAAGAGAAACAAATAAAAATATTTGAAAGTTTCAGCAAAAGACCACTGTTTTTTATTGTAAATTATTTAATAAATGCAAGGTGATTAATAATACTTAATTTCCAAGTGGGAAGTAATTCCTTAGGTTTGAAAATATACCACAGTATAGAGCAGACTGCCTCCTACTTCATTTTGCAATGCTAGCTTCCATTTATTATCACAAACTGATATAGAAAATAAAATCGCAATTTTATTTATAAAAAGATGATAAATTTATAATGCATGATTAACAACAACAACAAACCCACCAGCATTTAAAAGAATAATGCATAGACAAATTAGGACTTACTCCACAAATGAAAAAATGATTTAATCATTAAAACATTGACAAAATTCCTTTTATTAAAATATTTAATAATTAACTTTATGAAGAATCATTAGAAAGAATCTGATTTAACACCCATACCTGAATAATCTTGAAACAAGACTGACTAGAAAGTTTCTATACCAATTAGTATTAAGGAAGAAACCAAAGGTCGAAGTCTACTTTTCATACACATTTATTAAGGAAACAGGCAGGGCTGTCATTATTCCTTCTGATGCTGAACAATGATGTGGACTTTCTAACTAATGCAATGAGAGAAGGCAAAGAAATTAAATTACAAAATCCTAGACAAAAGTAGAGGGCAGCATTTTTTTTTTCTTTTGAGAAATGATGAGATTATATCACTAGAAACCCAAGAGACTCAACCAAAAATATCAGAACAATTAGAATCCAACAATAAATAATTTTCTTTTTGCTATCATTAACCAAAAAGATGGAAAGAGCAAAAATCAGCAAAATTATAAAATGTCACAGAATAAAAGCAATAACAAAACTCATGTGGAATCACTACACAATTATGTTCGATGGCAAAACAGGACCCAAATCGTGGAGAAATGGATCATCTTCCATTATGTGAAGACCTATTATTATTAAAACAACAGTTCTTCCCAAATTAATACATGAATTAAGTTGCAATTGCTGCTTCTTGGAAGTGGGTGACAGGAATTTGAGAAATTGTTTCTCTAAATATGAGTCTCAATCACAGGACTCTCATTTCCCTGGATGGTGATCAGTTAAAAAATGAGCTTATGAATTGTTGCTGGTCAGTTAGACATGAGAGAAAGCCTGTTTGGGCAAGACTTTTGGGAACGTATCCACTGTTCCTAAGACATGGGGCGGGGGTGGGGGGGGGAACAGCCTCAGCCCCATCTTCCTAGGGATGTTGCTTCCAGATATGAAGCCTGGAAATGGAATGGGTATTATCCTGAAAACCTTCTGAAGATGAAGTTAACAAATAGGATGGGAACACGAAGAAAACATGGGTACCACTGATGATAAAAAAGAATAAATCTCCTTATCTTTTAGGCCAGTTTGAGTCAAGATTATTTGCTACTTAAAGCATCTCAAAAGACATACTGAATTGCAGATTTGAAAAACAAAGCAATACAAGTAAATCTAAACAGTGGACCTGAAATTTGCTAGGACGCGATCAGTCAGGAAGCTCTGTACGAGATAAAATAGATCGTTATGGGGGCGCCTGGGTGGCGCAGTCGGTTAAGCCTCCGACTTCAGCCAGGTCACGATCTCGCGGTCCGTGAGTTCGAGCCCCGCGTCAGGCTCTGGGCTGATGGCTCGGAGCCTGGAGCCTGTTTCCGATTCTGTGTCTCCCTCTCTCTCTGCCCCTCCCCCGTTCATGCTCTGTCTCTCTCTGTCCCAAAGATAAATTAAAAACGTTGAAAAAAAAATTAAAAAAAAAATAGATCGTTATAAAGGCAGAAAATGTTGAAATACGACTTTGAAAGTAGCTACCGATAATACAATATAATTGAGGTCAATACATATTCACCCAGCATAAGAAGCATAGTATTGTGTAAGCTGTAAAATTTTGTTTTCTAACATCTCACATTTCTTCTTTTATAGATAAAGTCAATCGTGCACATTTATATGCCATGAGATACAAAACGCCTACAGAAAAAAGTGTGCTGCAATACAGAAAATAGTACAGTATCTCCAAATTGTGATTGCTCTTCCTTTTCCTCGCTTGATTAAAAACAAAACAAAGGAAAACAACAAAACAAACCCTTCAGTATGTTTTCATATGATATGTATTTGAGATGGGGAAGGGGTGAACTGACATGGGATTTACAATGTGAATAAGGGATTGCATTAATATGTGGAAATCATACATACCTTTATGAAAGTTCACACATGGGATCTCAATTAAGAATTTGCATGGCTTGTCCTCAACATGTTCATCAGTGTAGCATATAAATATATTTTCTGAAGAAAGTACAAGTTAAAATATTTTGTTTTCACAAGATTAACATAAAACCACTGGGTTACTGTTTTTACTATGGGGGGGTAGAAGGCTAGTCCTTAAAGCAGCTACATACAACACCTGGCAGAAAAATTATATTTCCAGAACAATTAAGACATTGTTGCCTTCAATCACTTGCACTGATGAATCTTTGTGAATGCATGACTGTTTCAGTGGAAATGCAACCCTAGTAATAAATTCTCTGCCTGGGGATGATAGATTCTAGAGAGTAAATTATTAGTTGATTTTTTTTTTAAGTGAAAACTGATTAGGCATCCTTGGGAAAACATACTAAATACTTAGCCAAAATTAATTTGACTTACAATAAAAATGTCCCTCCAAGCTTAAACAGCATTATAAATCGGTAAGTATTCAAAGATACTGAGAATAAAAGGCACATTAAAAATAAAAGAAAGGGGGATGCCTGGGTGGCTCAGTTGGTTCAGTGTCCAACTTCAGCTCAGGTCATGATCTTACAGTTTGTGGGTTCCAGCCCCATGTCAGGTTCTGTGCGGACAGCTCAGAGCCTGGAGCCTGCTTCAAATTCTGGGTCTCCCTCGCTCTCTGCCCCTCCCCCACTCGCACTCTGCCTCTGTCTCTTAAAAATAAACATTAAAAAAATCATAATAAAAAAATAAAAGAAAGGTATACAAATAGCAAAATAACAGTGATCAAAGAACTGGAAAGGGATTCTGTATCATTATCTTTTATCTCTGCTTCTATAATAAATGATAAAGAAGCATTTAAGATTTTAATTCCAAAATAAATATCCTACCTTAAAATGACACAGTGCATATTTTATATATATTGCAAAGTTTTAAATGACCTGAAAGTTTTATTGCTTTGTTTGTAAAATGATTGGAATAAAATTAAATTTCAGCCGTGAGCTTAATTCCATTGTCTTTAGTCAAGTATAGACTCTCAGGACTACATTATTAGTTCAATATGTTAAATGAATATTAAAAGAATAACTTAAAAAAAAACTAAAAACGTGGAACTCTAAAGCATAAGCTAATGCAACCTGAGGACAGAAAAACGCACAGCATAAATGTAGAAAATCCTTTCACTCCTCTCTGCTCCAGTGAAGCCTAAAACGCCAAGAAACAAGAACTGAGTTATCTAAATATAAAGTTCCATTGATATTCTGAACTGCTATAGTTTGCTAATAATAATTTTATTTTAAGAAGTATTCTGATAAAAAAATTGGTAAAACTTTTACAAGTATTCCACCCTACTGATTCCCATAGAACTAATAAGAGTCTGTGCTGGAAAAGTTTTTAAATTATGAACACTTCTTTGTAGTAGAATTTTCATTTTTAAGCTAGTTTGCATAGCTTATTTCCCTTAGCTCTTATGGAAAACGAAGTTTTTGCTTTTGGTATCAACTGCCCTGTCCAGTGACAAAGTCCACGATTCTGTGAGCTCTAACAAGTTAAACATTTGGCATCTCATACATATATCCATGGACAAATTTTGCAGTGTTTTGAGAATTACTAAAGTTTCTAATGAATGAGAAGACTATGCTAACATGAGGAATTAACTATTATTTAAAAAAAAATTAACCAAATATTTACTTCAAATTATGAAGACTAAAACACCAAAGCTAAATATGATTTCACAGTTTCTTTTATTTGTAATTTGGGGCCTCTTACAAAGTTACCCTATAATATAACAATCCTTGTCATTTCACTAATTCAATCCCTTTGACTGTTTCTTTGGTGCTACCAAATAAACACTATACATCACATCACACTCTTTTACTATTTTAATTAATGATGCTATGCCAGTGTTGGTTAAATCCTTTCAAAAAGCCAAACCAAACAAGCACATATGGCGATATTTGCTGTATCTGTGTACAAGAAACATCTAGTAGTAAGCTGGAAAAACAAACATACACAGAGGACAGAGATTCAGTGACTGATGTGTACTAAAACACATGTGCGGCAGGGTGTTGGCAGGGCAATCTGTCCAAAAAATGATGAACCTTAACAAGAAAGTCACTATGAATATGTTACTGATCTCAGTAGGGGTTGACATCATCACAAATCTAGTCCCTTCATTAAAAAACAAACAAACACACCTCAAAGTCCTTGCCTTAATATGAAGATCAGTAGCAGTATTTTTGTAATAATAATTTTAGCTAATATTATTTATTACCTGTCAGCCACTGAGCTAAGCACTCTACATGTATTGCCTAATTTAATGCTCACAGCAGTTTTCCGAACCTGTTCTGTTACCATCTTCATTTTCCATATGAAGAAAATGAGATTGAGGGAAATTAAATAATTGCTCAAGGTCATGCAGCTATAAGAACACAGAATAGAAATGTAAAATTGAAATGGAACGTCATTAAAAAATAATATGTCAAAAATATGATGCTATTAAATTTCAATAAAGCCTAAAGAGATCTACTGAATCCAATCAAGCCTTGCAACTTTAAATAGTAACCAGGAAACACTGAGAAACCTATCTCGATGGAAAGAAATATATTACAGTTCACCTATTTACAGAGCAGTTATTAAGAAAATAAAAGAGTCATCATATAATATACCTCTCTGGTGAGGTAGGGTCATCCTGAAATCATGTGGTGTCCATACGTGTGCCCTCACATAAAGTCTACGCTTGATACACAATCGTATGCCAATCCAGATCTTTAACCCTCAATCTGAGACAATAAAATTAGCCCTAATAGTTGAGTCAGTAACCTTTCAACTTTGAAAAAATAAAGACTTAAATAAAGATGAAAAAGCATGTCAAGTCCATAATGCAAGTATTTCCATGTAAGAGTATAAACAAAATGTGTGTATTTATGCACAATGTGGCAAAATTAAAACAAATCCGGCATGTTAGGGCATCTGAGAGATTAGACTCGTGACTTTTACTTAAGGTATGGAAATGACTTTATATTTCTTATTTGATATTGAAAGAGGTAAGGCAATGGGTCTAATTTTGTAAACGATATTAGAAAACTTAGAATTTACTGTCCCAAGTTTAATTTATTCAATTCAAAAGACTTGCCTAAACGCTTAGGTAAAGTTTCCTTGTAAGAACCTATTTGGCATTTGAAGTACTTAAAAAGAAAACTGAAATCATTAATGTGTAATGCAACTTTAAATGTTATAGGCAATTTAATTACTCAAGATTATGAATAAGACTACTTATTAAATCAGTTCAATTTAAATAAAACATTAATCAAGGATCAATAAAAAGTGATTGTTCTACTGTTTATATAAAGATTACCAGATTTATAAACAATGTCAAAGTAATGATCAGGTAAGGACTGAAAAACAAAAAGAGTAAAGTGGTATAGCTTAAAGCCATACATAAGTAAAATAAAACTCTATAAGTATTTAAATAAATTAAAAAAATAAGAAGGGGGAGGAGGGAGAGGGAAATACAAGCAAAGGGTACAAATAGAGAAAATAATGAAATTATGGATTACAATCCAAACATACTAATAATTAAATTATCAATAGCATAAATACTCTAATTGAAAGGCAAAGACTATCAGAATAGATACATGACCCAATTACATGCCATTTACAGGAAACTAAATATAAAGAAACAGGATAAAAATAAATAATGAGGAAAAAGAAATAGCATGCAAATAGTAAGCATAGAAGTCTGGAGGACCTATACAAAACACATATTAAATGTAAAGGCATAAATATTTTAAAGGTAAAAATGATAGAAAAAGATATACCATGCTAATAACAGTGAAATAAATGCTGTAGTTGCTTTATTAAACAGTGTAGATTTCAGAAAATAATTAACAGGGGTTAAAAAACAGACATTTCATAATGATAAATTATGTCATCAAAAGAACCTAATAATCCTAATTTTTCCCACTAACAACAGAATTCAAAATACATGAAGCAAAAAGTTTTGTTGATTGTTTCTTTTGCTGTGCAGAAGCAACTGCACTACTAGGTATTTACTCAAAGAATATAAAAAGTACTAATTCAAAGGCATACATACACCCAATGTTTATAGCAGCATTACCTACAATAGCCAAATTATGGAAACAACCCAAGTATCCATCAGCTGATGAATAGATAAAGAAATGTGGTAGAGGGGAGCCTGGGTGGCTCAGTTGGTTAAGCGTCTGACTTCCGTTCAGATCTCCTAGTTCTTGAGTTCGAGCCGCATAGGGCTCTGTGCTGACAGCTCAGAGCCTGGCACCTGCTCTGGACTCTATGTCTCCCTCTCTCTCAGCTCCTCCCCTGCTTGTGCGCTCACTCGCACTCTCTCTCTCTTTCAAAATAAATCAACATTAAAGAAGATGCAGTATATATATATACAAGGGAATATTACTCAGCCATTTTAAAAAGAATGAAATCTTGTCATCTGCAACAACGTGGGTGGAGCTAAAGATAGAATTATGCTAAACAAAATAAATCAGTCAGAGAAAGGCAAATGGAATTTAAGAAACAAAACAAATGAGCCAAGGAGAAAAAAAGAGAGGGGGGCAAACCAAGAAATAGACTCTGAACTATAGGGAACAAACTGATGGTTACCAGAGGGGAGGTAGGTGGGAGGGATGTGTTAAGTAGGTGACAGGGATTAAGGGGTACACTTGTCAAGATGAGCTCTACTGTGTGGGAATGCTGAATCACTACACTGTGCACCCAAAACTAATATTACACTGTTAACTATGGAATGTCAGTAAAACCGTAAGAAAAAAATAAGCATAGGGCTGCACGTAAAAAAAAACAAAAACAAAAACAAAACTATCATTTGCATAACATGAGAAACATGGAATCCATGGGAGTAAAACTGAAAAAAATGTGTGAAACCCCCCACATTAACAACTAAAAACATTGCTGAGAGGAATTAAAGGCCTAAGGAAAGAGGGAGACAGACCTTTGTTGTAGGTCAGAAGACTCAAAATTGCTACAGTGTCAATTTTTCCTTTGTTGATTCCTTGACTCAATGTAATCACAATCCAAACCTAAGCAGATTATTTTTTTTATTTGGTAGAAACTGGAAAACCAGTACTAAAATTGATAAGGAAATGCAAAGGACCTAGAATATCTGAAGAACAGCCAAAATATTTTTTTTTAAAAAGCAAAGACAATGTTGTGTTTGCATACAGATAAACAAATAGACCAACACACATGCACACAAATGGACAATTTTTGAGAAAGTTGCAACAATAAATCAAAGAATAATTTTTTTTTTCAAAAAAAGGCCCGAGAACAACTGGCTTTCCATAGTCAAAAGGAAACAAAAGAATTTTATACTTCATACCAAATACCAAATAAAATGAATGTGGTAATGGTCACGGCTGTACAAACACATAGTAGCTCAGCAAATTGTACATTTAAATTTGTAAGGTCTATTTTTTTTTATACTTTAGTAAGAGAAGGAGAATTAATACAGACATCAGATTATTTATTATGGGAAAAGGAACACAATCTAATTTTCTTCTAAATCATTTGTAAAAAAAAAAAAAAGAAATTAGAATGAAATCTAGAATTTGAATACAGAGTTAATAGGAAATAATTTAAATTGAATAAACAATAAATAAATAGTGAAAAGCTACAGGTACATATATTTTCCTAAATTTATTTATTTTCCTTCATAAAATATATTTTAGCCCATGAATATCATTTTATCTAAATATATGTTGCATCTATTTCCCATGTTATGTTTTCTTTCAACTCTATGATTTTATTTTAACAGTTTTATTACACTATTCACAAAAGAGAAATAAGCATTTTAAAAACTATAAAAATACAGAAAACTTGGAATAATATAGCATAATTTGGAATATAGGAAACCCTTTACATCTACACAAACATCTCAACATTTCAAAATTTTTTGAAGTTTGTTTGTTTGTTTGTTTATTTATTTAGAGAGGAAGAGAATGCAAGCAGGAGAGGGGCAGAGACAGAATCTCAGGCAGGTTCCACAACATAGGCACAGAGCCACAAGCGGGGCTCAATCTCACAAACCATGAGATCATGACCTGAGCCAAGATCGAGAGTCAGACATTTAACCAACTGAGCTACCCAGGTGCCCCAAACATCTCAACATTTTAAAAGAAGAATTTAAATAATTAAGAGCTCAAAAGTAGACCTCTTAGGAATTTATTTGTATACAGTATAGTATATAGTATGAAATAGAATCTAAAATATTTAATTCTAATCATCATATAATAAATTCTCTTATGTGCTTGTCTCTATTTCTACATTCTTCATTCTGTTCTATCAGATTGTATACCTACAATTGTATCAAATGTCTTACTACTATATGTTTTTATAAAATTTCATAGTAATTAAATTAGTTCCCAGTCATTGTTCTTTTTTCAAAAAATTACTTGGCAATTTATTTACCCAGATAAATTTTGTTGTATAATTTTCAAGCTTAAAAAAAGCACAACTTTGAATTTTATTAACTTTAATTAAATAACTAAATAAAAAGGATTGACATATTTATTTATCATGTTTTTTTTCCTAATCTGGAGCATCAATTATTGGGGTTGTCCTTCATGCATTCAATGAAGTAAAGGCAATTTCTTCATATTGTTGTCAATTCACATATAACTACAAATAGTATTAGTAAACGTGCTTGCATATCATATTTAATAACATTGAAAAGAATGGTTTTGGCAATTTACCAAAACTAAACCCACTACCAACAACAACAAATAAAGAAGGGTGGGTTATCTTTAGAGGACAGAAATATGCTTCCTATGCAAAACCCAATTCCAAAAAGTTCTAAAATGTTCTTTTAAAAATAACAGTATTATTGGAATTATCTGTACTAAATTCTCCATAGCAAATTACTTTGTAGATGAAATTTATTTTATGTAACTGTACATATACTGGCATGTTTATAAAGAAAAACAAAATTAGTCTCTTTATTGCTGTCCCTTATGTATCTTTGTATCTCCCAAGGCCCTTGTGGTAGTAATATAACCTAAAAAAAAAATGCACAAATTTTTTGTGATTTTTTTTTTTTGTTTCAAAATATATAGCCCTCTCTGCCATGGAGATAGATAAGGTTAAGACAATCTCGTCTCTATAAACTGCCTCCTAAGAAAGTAAATTATCTACTAACTGTAGCTACAACAGTTGCAAGAACAAAATGTGTAACTCTGAAAGGCCCCATTGCAGTAAATGCCCTCTAAACACTGAGAAAAATAATTGCTTAGTGACTGATCAGGTAGGGTGTAAGAAAACATTCCACTTTCTGAATGTGAAGTTATAAAGTTTTGATCCTGTTCCTTATCTTCCCCAGTGACTCCAATAATGTGGTTTCATCTCTAGTAGAAAGGAGGCTAACTTTTTTCCATCTAACCTACAATATCTTCAGCTATTTCGTACAGAGTCATCTTGCTGTCATTCAATACACAGAAGCAGATGTCCTTTTTTCAATGATTCTTTTTATGGGCTCAAGACAATTTCATTCTATCAGCCTTTTCTTTTTATGAGCATTCAGGGACTACAATAAGACAGGGCACAGTGTAAGGAGACAGAAAGTAAGGCATTATATTCTGAGATGTGAAGTCAACAATAAGGTGAGAAAGAGATAGAGCTTAGGGAAACACTCTAGTGCTTCCAAGAAAAGTAGAATGGCAGTTCATACATATTATTTAGGAAAACTTTCTACTTATAGAATAAAAAGAAAAGCAAGAATTGTGAGCAGAATCATGAAAGGCTGGCACCATCTTCCATCCAATTCTATGTCTCCTCATTCCATAACAATAGGGTCTGAATTGAGCATATACTTATCAAGCTACAGACAACATTATCTAACTTCTCTTACAGCTGATGATAGGGATATAATAAAGTTCTCAACAATGATATGTCAGTGGAGATGATGCACGAGTAACTTGCTTAAAAGAAAATTACCTGACCTTCACTCACTTGCTCACTTTCCCTTTCTCTCAGACTGAAACACGGTGAGGTAGCTGTACAGCTTCGACTTGACAGGTAAGGAAAACGTTATTTGAGATGAACAGACAGAAGGAACGTGGGTTCTTGAATGGTCTTGCTGGGTACAGTCCCCATCAGTCTCACTAACCTCCAGACAACTTTGGGAGAAGAACTAAATTTCTATCTTATTTAAGCAACCATATTTGGGGGTCTTTATCAGCCTGATCTTAACCCTAACTGAAACTGGGACTTACACACAAACCTGACATCTAGTTTAAAATGTGAAAAAATACTATTGTGCTTACACTCAAATTGACAGTGAGGATACATTCAAGAGTGACTAAAAAAGAAAACAAAAGGGGGAGTATGAAAAAAATTGTTGGCAATCCTCTATCCATGAAAAAAACTTTTTAAAGGTTTAATACCAAAAACGAAAGAAAAAAGCCAAATAATTTGTATATGTTATCATAAAAATATAAAATAAAAAGTTGGACTGTAAGACACAGAAAATAAAATATGCAATGCAAAGTGACAGACGGGTACATAAACTGAGGTAAAAGGAAAGCTAACTAAAATAAGCTGAGAACACAAAGAAATGAGAAAGTGTAGTGAGAAAACACTACAATTTTAAATCAGATTTCAATCTGCCTATTGGAAGTTTTAAAGAATTAGAATCTCCTCACAGAAAATACAATCAGTTGTGCAGAGCACAATGGATAAGATTAAAATGATGGAACAAAATAGGCATTTTAAAATTTTCCAAAAATAACCATAAATATACAAGAAAAATATCGCTGAGCTGAAATAAAAATGTATGGTGGCAATTTTTTTTTGAGATATATGTTTAAAGAATAAATTTCTACAAGGGTTTAAAAACAGAGGGAAAAATGGGCTATTTACAAAGGAATGAAAACTAGGCTTAGGCATCTTATACTACGTCCAAATGAATAAAAAACAATAATTGAATGATGTTCAACAGGCAAAGAGAAGAGATTGCAAAAAACATACTCAATGAAGTCATCATTTTTCTGTGAAGGTACTGGACTTAAACTCACTGATATGTAAAGTCTCAGAAAACATACTATGCACTGATTCTATGAAAAGTACTTGAAGACTTAATCCTGATAGTCTTTAGATGAATCAAATAATAGATTTTAAAAGACTAATCATTTATGCCATGTAAGTATTTTTAATTAGGGAAAGAAATAAAAGAAGTAAAAGAAATGAGATGAGGATGTGTACTTTCAGAGCAAAACATTAGTAACAATAGGTAGACAGTAGAAACCAATGCTACCTGAGAAAATACCCAAATCCTAAAGTCCTAAAGGAAGCATAATGCTCAAACTAATATAGGGGACATCCAAAGACATCTTTCTATCCATGATGTTTCCTCACAAAAGACATCTATGGTAACTGTGCATGCTTAGAGAAGGAACCATACATATCTGCAATGCTGGCAATGTTTTACCTCTGTGGATGGGACCTGGTCACACACTGTTCACGTAATGTTCCAAACAGACTGAGTACTCAGGCAGCCCATGTGGTTCCCCATAGACAAGTCATAAATAAATACTAACTTAAAATCTTGCAAAATGTATTGTTTTCTACATATTTGCAAGAACTGCTGGGAGCTGACAAACTAAAGATACTGTGTTAACTCTTAAGCTAAAATACAAAGTATCTCTAAATAGATACTGTGAATTTTTTATGTAAATGATATAAAAGAATTTCTAAGGCTGAACAAAAATAATTTTTAAATGTATCAAATAACCTATAGAATTAACAAGTTTTACAAAACAGAAGTTCAGGGAGAATTAAGTTTCCAAGTTTGCATAAAGGACAGCCAAAAGTTAAAGATTTATTCTTGGATGTCATGTGATCAGAGTTCACTACCAGGAAAAGAATGTTACACTGATCTGAAAGTCTTACACCTTCTGTTTTTATATTTAAAATTCTAGACCACTCCCCTTCTTGAGGCACTCTTTCCCCTGGTATTCTGTTACATCACGTCCTGTTGGCCTTCCTTTCTTCTTTACCACCCTTTCTTCTTTTGTTTCTTTCCCATCTTCTCAACCAATGGCTAATAACTATGGCCTTGGGCTAAACGTAGCCTGTTTTTGTAATGAAACAAGTTTCATTTAAAATAAATAAACAGCCTTGCTTATGTGTTAATATATGCTCTATGGCTGCTTTCATGCTACAATGGCAGAATTAAGTAGTTACAACAGAGACCACATGACCTGCAAAATGTAAAAACATTTACCATCTAGCCCAATGCAGAAAAAAAAATTTACAAGTCCTGCTCTTCATTATTACCATTCCTCAGTTTTGTCCCAAGCCTTCCTCTCTTCTCATTCTGTATACTTCTCCATGTTCATTTAACCGACTCTACTCCCTTCATTTCTTCCACCTCACAAGCGTGTAGCTACAAGCCAGACCTTTACCCTTAACCTCCAGATTCCCGTGTCCAACACTCTTGGGCATATCCACCTGGATGTTTTCCAGTTCTCTTGTTCTTGGTGCATCCACAAATAAATCCATCATCCTCTTTCCACCAAATCCTCACATTCTTGTTTCTCAGCAGATGTAGCCACTGCTTACCTGGTCTTTAAATAAGTAATTTGAGAACCTGTGCTGACTCCTCCTCTCCTCCTCCCCCTCCTCTCCCTCCTCCTCCCCCTCCTCCACCTCCTCCCTCTCCTCCTCCTCTATCTCCCCCTCCTCCCCCTCCCCCAGATCATACATTCACTACAGTATGTTGCCGTATTACCTCAAATCCTTCTGATTTTCCTCCATCGATCCCTCTAGTCCCAAATACCATCATGCCTTCTCTGAATTACTGAAACACTCCTTAATTGACATGCATATGGTCTTCCTTCTCTCTAATCCCATCTTGACACTAAACCAACATTATTCTTTAGACATAAAGACCAAACCAATAGTTGTGTTCTACTATAGTCTCCGATATCTAATAAGTGATCAGTATTTTTGCATGCTATGGTAACTACAATACCATATTGTTAAAAGGAATAGAAAAAATAATAAATAGATGTGAGTCCACAAGCTCACTTGTGGACAGAGGGCAGAGAAGGATGGTATAAATCAAAAACTCTCATTTCAGATTAAAAAATATATATCATTTAAAATAATATAGCAGAGATTCCAAGCAGATTAACAAATCTTTTTTTTAATGCTTATTTATTTTTGACAGAGAGAGAGAGAGAGAGAGAGAGAGCGAGAGAGAGCATGAGCGGGGGAGGGGCAGAGAGAGAGGGAGACACAGACCAAAGCAGGCTCCAGGGTTCGGTCAGCACAGGAGTCTGATGCGGCTCACAGATCTGGCGCAGATCATGACATGAGCTGAAGTCAGACGCTCAACTGACTGAGCCACTCAGGTGCCCCAAATCTGCTTCTTATTCTTTCTGGACACACAGCTAGACTATATCCCCCACCCCACCTTTTCTTTTCTTTTCTTTTCTTTTCTTTTCTTTTTCTTCCTTTTCTTTTCTTTTCTTTTTTTTTTCTTTTCTTTTTTTTTTTTTTTTATGATTTTTTCAGCACATTTTAGATTACAGGGTAACATTTCTAATCAGTAGAATGTGAGGGAATGAAAATGGTCACTTATGGTTCAATCTTAAACATCTCTTCCATTTGCTTCCATGCTCTTCTGTTTGATGAAAATGAAAACTTTGATATTCATGCTTAAGATGACAGAGGCAGAAAAAGAAATACCCCCTGAATTTCTGAATCACCACTTAACAAGAAAATATCTCTTATCGTGGGGAAACACTGTAGGGGTGCATTAAAACAGGTTGAGCTGAGGATTTTAGCTCAGGTCATGATCTTGCGGTTCATGAGTTCGAGTTCACTCTGCCAGGCCTCCACGCTGACAGCCGGAGCCTGCCTGATTCTCAGTCCTCCCTCCTCCTTGTCTCTGTCCTCTCTGGCAGCCTCAAAAATAAATAAATGTTAAAAAAAAAATAAAAACACTGTGGTAGGCTGAATAATGATGCCCCAAATATGTCAGGCACTAATCCAGTTAACCTGTGAATGTAAGCTTATACTGCAAAAACAACCTTGCAAATATGATTAAGTTAAGGTTCGTGAAATACAACCTTAGCCTAGGTTATCTAGAGGGTAATCTAGGGGCCCAAGATAATCACAATGATCCTAAGAAAGACACAAAAGGACACAGGGTCAGAGCAGAAGACAATGTGATGATGAATGAAAGGAAGAAAAAGGAAAGTGACGTGGGACCATGATCAGAGAATGAAACAGTCTCTAAAGGTAGAAAACATTAGGAGCGGATTCTCCCCTAGAGCCTCTAGAAGGAACCAGAACTGCTGACACTTTGATTTCAGTCCTATGAGGACTCATTTTTGATTTCTTATCTTTAGAATTGTAAGAGAATGGATTTCTGTCATTTCAGCCACTTAGTTTGTGGTAATTTGTTGATTTGGGCAACATAGGGTCCTAGCTGACTCTACCAGGGAAAGATCAGAAAAGGGTTCTGAGATGAAACTAGATGGAGACAGGGTATAAGGACATTTGAGGAAATGGAGACAGCAAATGCAAATAACATTTTCATGAAGAGTGAAGACTGAATGAAAGAAAATAAATTGATGTGTTCTGGAGCATATATGGACTCTGAGGATTATCTTTCATTTGAGAGGGACACACAGATGATGCAGGGCAGAGTGGAAATGACTGGAAGAGAAAAGTCCTTAAAAAGGAGGAGGGGGGGGGCGCCTGGGTGGCTCAGTCGGTTGGGCGGCCGACTTCAGCTCAGGTCACGATCTCGCAGTCCGTGAGTTTGAGCCCCGCGTCGGGCTCTGTGCTGACATCTCGGAGCCTGGAGCCTGCTTCTGATTCTGTGTCTCCCTCTCTCTCTGCCCCTCCCCTGTTCATGCTCTGTCTCTCTGTCTCAAAAATATATAAAACGTTAAAAAAAAAAATTAAAAAAAAAAAAAGGAGGAAGGGGGTCTGACTGGAATCGAGTGAGAATACACTGTCCTTTGATGAGAAGAGGGACACTTGCTCTTCTTCAAGATTGCAGG